TTTTTTTTTTTTTTTTTTTGAAGAATAGCCCCTGCGGAAGCCCACTATCCCGACGGTGGTGAGAGAACCGTCAGGATTGAGGGCTTATCTGTCGGGCTGCTCCATCTATTGGTGGGGAGCGGCACAAAGCGCCCCTTTTTAAACTCATGCTCCAATCTATCGTGCTGAGACTCAGTCTCAGCCGAAAGAATGCTAAACGTCGGACTCCTCAACTAAAGGCAGACCAAAAAGAACTGGGGACCGGGCAAGACAAGTTACCAAAGCCAAAAAGACTGAGATTTTTCAAAAACTGTGAAAAAAAATAAAAACTGATGATGATAGATTCATGAGGTGGTGGTCCCGGTATCTCAAATGACTTTTGTAACTCTATATCGGACGCTGGGCCCGGTTCCCAGCACGTGCTGCTGCCCACAAATAGACTGGAGCATTTGTCCCAAGAAAAAAAAAAAAAAAAAAAAAAAGATTCATCAGGTGGTTCAGAGCCACCCGCGCCAAACCGGCAAAAGTCGCCTTGTTGCAATGGCAGTCAGAGCACAGGTGTCTCCAACGAACGACTGGCCCATCGACCACACCTCCTTAGAGCAAAGAGGACTGGCACTGCCTTGGTGCAAGCTCTGCGAGAATGCATTCCAAGCCCAAAAAAGTGCCTGGAGACCATTAATAAGCACATCTTTCTACAGTGCCCGGGCTCCATCTGGCTCTGGACATGGTGGGACAGGATCTGGACGCCTCCACAACATGGCCATGGGACTGGAAAGCAATCTTGTGTGAAAGCTGGCACCCAAAGCAAGCCACAGATTTCACTCACAACATGTTCAGCACAGGATGTAGAGCCATTCTCTGGGCCCTCTGGTGGAGGCGCTGCACCTGCCAATGGAAGGGGTAAGACTAGAGGTGTCTGAGTTCAGAGAATCCATAAAAGCACAAGTGCAAGCTGAAATCACGATGCAGTGTCACAGTGACCAGGTCACAGAAAAGTTCACTTTCTTCACAACAGAACGGAAATCGAAACGAATATAAAAGAATTCTGCAAAGACTGGCTGGGAGGGGATAAAGGGGGATGGGTGGCATACGTGGCATGGAAGGGGGGACAGGGGGAAGAACAGGGAGAGAGAACCAGGGATTACCACCACCTTTTTCATGATTGGACCAAGATTGATGCCTCAGTACCCTTACGACCCCTATCTGATTTGGCTGACCGGTCCGCCCCCCCAGCTCTCTCTCTCTTGCAGAACTCCCATGGAATGATAAGCTATGAGCATGAGGGCCTCAGAGTGCTAGCGGGACACAGAACAGAGCAATACGCTCTGATCAGACACCCACT